GGTTCTGCCAGTGGGGGGGGGGGTCAGGAAACTGGGATGGCTCAAAATAGCAATGCTGAGTGTTACCCGATTTTTCAACTTACCATCAGCAAATCTTTTCAGCTGACCTTGGCTTTAAGAGTCCTTACCAGAAAGATTGCTAAAATGGGATAAGGGCCCATAGTTTGTTTGGTCTTTTAAAAAATTTCATTATAAGAGCTGCCCCATCTTATCCGATTTTCTCCTTCATTAAAAAAAAAAAAAAAAAGCGCATTGCTTTCTAGATGGTAAGTCACTACTGTCCTCTTTGTCAGGAATTACAGGCTTTACGATGTCATTTGAAATGGGAAGATGGACATGTCATGCAGTTAGCCAATAAGTGCAATCCCTGATTAAAATGTGAGTTCTAAAAGTTTGAAACCGTCTAACTGTTTCCCCAAGGCCGTTTTAACGTCAGGCCTCTGTACCTGGCTTCTTTTGAAATGTATTTTCTCGGTCCTCTCGCGTGCGAGCCAGTGCTGCGTGTCTTGTACATTCACCTAGCACACCTTCACAAGCTTAAGTCAACGACTATGTGCTCAAAAATCTTCGTTTTCCCTTTGAAACTGGACGCAAAAAAGAAATCTCTCCTGTCCGTGGAGACGGCGGTGAAGGAGCGCGGGGCCTGCACGTAGATCTCCTTAAACTTCTTGAACAGCTGCTTCTCTTTATCCCACTGGTAGATCTGCGAGAACGTGTAGTCGCTCCCCAGGGCCAGGTAGTGGTTCTCCTTAAAAGAGAAGGGCTGCAGGGTCATGGCCCCCCGGGACGGGAGAGCCTGCACCTCCACGAACTGCTTACTGTTCCACCTCATGACCCGGGAGTCCCCGATGAAGCGGGTGAGCGACAGGTAGAGGGCGTTCTGCATTCGGAAGCTCTTCACGGCCAGCACGTCTTCCATGTTGGGGATGTCGCCGTGGGGGACGAACTTCTTAGAGCTCTTATTCCACTGCAGGATGATGGGGACCTGCGAGCGGCTGGACAGGATCAGGTGCGACTTGCCGTCTATGTCGACAAACTCGGCGTCCGTGTCCCTGAACCACTCGTGCAGAGACTGGTACGAGTAGAAGCCCTTGCTGTTCCACTTGTACACCGTGGACAGGCCGGCTTTCGAGCTGTCCGCGATGACGAAGAACGTCTCGTCCTCGATCTGAAACAGCTCAATGTCGTTGGGCTTGGAAATGCGAGAGACCTCGATGTCTTGGAATTTCACAAACTTGGTCCAGCTCTCGTCGTATCTGTAAATGTGAGAGCCGCCAAAGAGCTGGGCCACCACCACGAAGACCTGGTCGTCGATGAGGATGGCCTTGCAGCCCACGATGGACTGACCTATGCTCCGGAAGAAAGGAGAGAGCATTAGGGCAGCCACGGTTAGGATGCTCCTCCACAGTGACACCGGGACCCCAGGAACTGCTGGTGGGCAATGTATAATGGGGCAGCGCCTATGGAAACCACTGAAGAATTAAACCATTGGAAAATTAAATGTGGGATTACCATATGACCCAGAAATTGCACCTCTAGATCCTTAGCCAAAAGAATTCAAAGCAGGGTCTTGAAGAGATCTGTGTACACCCATGTCCATAGCAGTGCTATTCGCAATAGCTAAGAGGTGGAAGCAACCCAAGTGTCCACTGATGGATGACTGGATAAACAAATGCGGCCTATCCATACAACGGAATATTATTCAGCCTTAAAAAGGAAAGAAGTGCTGATACATGATACAACACAGATGAATGCTGAGGACATTAGCCAAGTGAAATAAGCCAGTTCCCAAATAAACAAATACTGTATAAATCCACTTATATGAGGTGCCTGGAGTAGTCGGATTCATAGAGACATAAAGTAAAGGGCAGCTGCCTGGGTCTGGGAGGAGGGGGAAAATGGGGAGTTGTTGTTAAATGGGTATAGATTTTCAGTTTTTCAAGATGAAAAGGGTTCTGGAGTTTGGTTGTACAGTAATGTGAACATACTTAACACAACAGTACACTTAAAAATTATTAAGATGGTAAATTTTATGCTATGTCTATTTTCCCATAATTAAAAAAAATTTTTTTAACCCTTTTTATAAATGGTGGCTCCATAGAAATATGTAAATGCTGGTCACCTGGGTCCCCGAGAATTTAGAGGCAGGTGTACAAGTCAGGAAATTCACTAACACACCAAATGCATTATCTTCATGCTATTCAAAAAGCACTGCCCAGCCGGGCGGGGCTCAGCAGCTGAGCATCGACCTAGGATCCAGGAGATCACAGTTTGATTCCCAGTCAGGGCACATGCCCAGATTATGGGCTCGATCCCCAGTCAGGGGCCTGCAGGAGGCAGCCGATCAATGGCACTCTCATCACTGATGTTTCTCTCTCTCTCACCCTCTCCCTTCCTCTCTCTGAAATCAATAAAGATATATTAAAAAAAAAAAAAAAAAAAA